AAGCCCGTCAACGGCAAAACTTTGTACCAGAATTTATTTTAAGAGGGACTTACTTAGCGGGATCGACGCCCAATATTAGATGAGTAATGAATGCGACAGCGCGAAGGCCGCAAGACCAGCAATCGTTCTGAGTGCTCAGGCCCGTCTCGACAGCGATTTCCATCGCCTGGTCATCTCCGTACAGATGACCGAACATTGCCAGGATTTGCTGACGGACGCTCTCATTGAGCTGCAGTGATTTACTGATAAAAGCTTTATCAGTCCACTTGTTTTTTATAAATCTATGAAATAGTTTTTTGATAGTTTCTTGAACTCTTCATAACTCTTTTATTCGAATAAACAATTTGATAACAGTAGAAATGTGGCCAAAAAAAAAAGAAGATGGTATAGCGCCTTCTCACCGTGTCACGGACGGAATCTTTATGTGGTACGATGGGATCGTAGACAACAACACGTCTCGGAATGAGCTTGTTTCGGAACAACACCACGTAATGCGCTCGACAATGATCATAGATCACTTGACACACGTTTTTGTCACCTCTTATCAAGTTTTTTAGTGAATCTGGCTCCAACTGCAACAAGCTTGGTTGCTCAATGAGCAAAAAAGAAGTGTCGGAGGTGAAAACATAGAAAAGTTTAAAACTAACTGGGACGATAGAGAGCCTTTGCCCATGGTCACGTTTGGATTCAAGGATTTTGTTATAAACTTGAAATAACCAGTTAGTGGCCAAGCTTAAGAGCGGGGTAAATGATGAATTCAACTTATGCGGGACTGTGAAGAAAGTATTAGTTATTAAGAATACTGAAACTTTCCGGGCTAACAGTACCTGCCGCCCATGTTATTTGCTGTTACTGAGGTGCACCCACAGGGCCAGCGCAGGCGTGTCGAGCTTTTCGATGTTGGGCCGCATGCTCTTAGTTAGACTCACCGCCTGTTCGATGCATCTACACCACCTCTTTCAAAGCGGCTTGAGTGGTTGTTTACTCTAGTGACACACACTTTTAAAAAATAGGTGATGTAATGGGTTGAAAAGTGCGAATTTTTACCGGAAAGCAGAAATTGGGTTTGTAATCGCTAAAATTATCATACGAAGCGAAAGTAAAATTTATAGCATGTAGTATATTAATTAGAGCGGCGATATTTCGGTGCATCTCGTTTCAGTTAGCAGACAGTAAAAATACATTGCTGTGTGATACATGCATTGTCATTTACGACAGTCTTGTTAAGCTCCTTAATTACTCTTTTTTACTGCTTAAAACGAAGAATGGGAAGCGGGAGAGGCGGGGGGAGGAGGGGGGAGGAGACGAGGAAGGGGGCGGAGACAGAGAGAATTGCTAACCAGAATATACTGCATTGCAAGCATGCCGTCAACTTCCCTGTTAATACTTTCTTGCAACTTATCACAATATGCATCGATGATATCATCGGTCAGCCGCTCGCCCATACGTACCTAAATGAACCCAATGATGAAGACCACACACTGCAAGCAGAAATTAGGCCACTAGCTTTTGAGGTCCTGAAAAAGGATAAGATTAAGGCCAAAACAGCACTTAGTGCAAGTAACTATCTTTCTGCAACCACGCTTCCCTCAGTTTGTTCCCTCAGCCACAAGTATGCATCCTCCGAGAGAGCTCGGTATCCGCGAACGAGAGTTGATTTTTGTGTTACAAAAATTTCGTCATTTTATTCAGTGTCCCCTCTTCACAAATGGTTACAGTGAAATGTAAAAGAACCTAGTAAATGTTTTAATGGATAAGTAAAAAGCACATTTAAAAGAGCAGTAATAATATAAAGAAGGGCATAATTATTACAGTAATAATAACACTAATGCAACTAATAACAGTAATAGTGGCAACAGTAGTAATAACAATAATAAAAAAATAATAACAATAATAACAAAAGCGAAACAGTCATAATAAAAAGAAAGACGGGCAGAAACACTGTGGAAATTACTTTTTTCCAAATCACAAAAAAAAAAAACAAATTCCTTCTGCTGTTAATGTCTCCCTGGATTTGTCATTAAATCAACTGAGGTGACATAATCTTGCAAAATAAGTCGGTTTGAAAGAAAAGAGAAGGGCGAAAATAGAATTTGAGACGAAAAATGTAAATGG